CTCCTCCAGTGGATGAGGGGTCAAAGCCCTCAAAATCTGTGGTCTGGGATCTTGCTATTATACCACCCAAGAGTTTATAGGACTCAAGAGTATAGAATCTTGTATTTCATAAATAAATTCTATAACCCTCAGGAAACAGCCCTGTTAATCAACAACCCAACTTAACATAGAAATCATAGCCACCATCTCAGTGCCTACGATGTTTAGATACGATGCTAGATGCATGACATGTAGAACTGTTCATCTCAAGTAACTCTATGAGGTAAGGGGAAGTATCTTATTTTATAAAAGAAACTGAGGCTCCAGGAAGGAAGTGCCCCAAATCCCAAAGCTAGTAAGGGGCCTAAATTTAAACCTGGGTCTGCCTGCCTGACCACAAAGCCCTGCTCTGTCTACTGCATACTGTCGCAGAGCTTGTGCCCTAGTTTACTTAGAAATGAGAGGTGATGCCAATCACAGTGACTGGTGAAATGCTTGGAATTTATCTTTTCTACTTTAGATATTGCTGTGAGTTCAGAGATGGCACTTCAGGAAATCTTGATGTGGATGCCCCAAGTGTCTAGAGAGTTCTCGTCTCCTTGCAGTGACAAAACAAAAAGGACAGAGCCGCTGGGAGCATTTACCCCAGTAGGGAGAAGAGAGGGGAGCTGGCAGCAGCCATTCCCTTGTTCTGACCGTCCCTTTCCTTCACTGTTTCCTGTATTTTCCCCAGGCAGACCAGCCAGGAGTGTAACTGATCTGCAAGAGCCTAACTCATTTGTGAGTTACAGAGAAATGCAGGGTGAAGGCGCTTTGGATATAGAACTTTAGCTCTGAGAGGGAATTTCAAAATATCTAGTTCAAACCTCTTTATTTTCCCAGTAAGAAAATTAAGACCCAGAGAGGTTGGCTGAATTGTCATAAAGTCAGTGCAAACTAGGGATGGAACTGCAGCCTGGGGATCCTAGTCCTGGGGCCATATTCTGTGACGGCTGTTTGGTGAACTCAACTTCCGATAGCTCGGAAGTGTGAGATGTGCTCATGAACAGGAAAAACCCAAATAGGTTTTACAAGTGGAGTACAAAAATGTCCTCCTCATTATTAGCACCTTAGTATAGGCTCCCTAGACCTGCTCCCCGGCAGTAGTGTAAATATGGAAGGAGAAGGAAATGGCCCATTTTGTCGCAGTGCAAATCACTGTGTGATATACTGGAGGCGTCAAGGCTATCTTTGGGGCAGGAACAAGACTATTCATTGAAGCGAGTGAGTTCCGTGAAATAACCTGATTTACAGTGCAGTTGAAGGACGTCTGTTTTTGGTTTTTTGGTTTTTTGGTTTTTTGTTTTTTCTGAGGGTAAGGGGATATGTTTTATCTGCTAGTTAAATTAGAAGATAAATTGGCAATAATAATGTTGCATTGTACAGTATCCATGGGTATCACTTTTGCAAGAAACATATATAATAACAGACACTTAGTGCGGAGGGATAGAACTTCCCTAGGTCCTGACTAGAAATAAAACTCTGTAATTATATGAATAACTTTTTTAACTTGAATTTTCGTGACATTTTTATGTAATCCACTGTATACAAAGCAGAATCTTCTGTTGGATTCTATCTTATTTGTTGTCATCTTCCAATGGCCTTAGGAAAATTAAGGTCAAAATTAGACGCACGCTACCACTTTGGTACATGCATGCATAGAAACACCCTTGGTAACCAGCTTGCATGTGACTTAGCAATCCCAGGTTATGGGCCAGTGGCAGGGTCCCATTTTGTACAGAGTTAAGTCAGAGTGTGAACGCAGGCTTTCAGAAACTCGTATTTGGAACTGGCACCCAACTTCTGGTCAGTCCAAGTAAGTCAAATCTGCAGAAATATGTAGCCCCATCCTCAATATTGGGTGTATATAGATATAATTTACTCTGGTCTGTAATAGATTACTACTATTTCGTTATTATTAATCATAACAATACGGCTAATTTAAGTATATATTTTCTCCCATATTATTTTTATCCTTTAAGGAGAATTACTGTCAAGATATCAAGAGAAAAATATTTGAATTTCCTTTGAGTCAAGTTTTTTATTTGTCCATCAGTTTCCACCTCTCTGCTGAGGGTCATATAAACCTCACAATGTTTTGGGTTTTATACTGCCTTCTTATTATCTCTCTTAGAAATGCTTCCTTGGTTTTTCCTTGCCTAAGCACTTAGATTTTGCAGCTCATATTTACGCAGAGTATACTTAGCTTTTAACGTCTCCCAAAACTGGCCTTTCTGTCCCAATAATTATGCACAGTAAAAGTCAGTTCAATTCAGTAAATGATTATTGAGTATCATCAACAACCCAGGGAATCATAGTTGGTTTAAAAAAAAAAAAAGAATTTTTAAAACCCTAAGACAGGGCTCCTAATCTTAAGAACTTCCATTCTTATCATAAACAAAGGATTCATAATAAAAAGTCTAATAACAATTTATATGTGAAATTTGCCAAGATAGGGGGTGGGTCCCCTGATGGCTAGAGACAGGATGGGTGTGACCATGCACAGTCCACATCCTTTGGCAGAGAACCCGCATGATTCCCACCCTCCCCCCACTATGTTTCTGAAAAAGGATTTGAGTCTGTTCTGTGCTGAGATCTTTGACTTTCTTGAGGACAAAAGCCCCCTTGGCAGTTAGCATCCTTGAGCAAGATGAGGACAGAAAGAGGAATGAGTCAGGCGTGAGTCACCCAAGATGCTCACTCAGCCCTGAGAGGACTGTGACTCTGAGTCATGCCAAGGCATGTTTTTAGCATGTGCCCTAGCACAGCGTGCATTTATGGGGAGGTGAAAATACATTTTTGCATATGTCTCCAGGAAAATGGTACCTTCTTCTCAAGCATGGCAGATGAAGTAGGAAAATGCCCACCTGCTTTCTGGTATCTTTAGAAATTTTCACACCCACCCAGCCTATGTAGGAGGCAATGTTTTTCACAAAGTTTTGTAAAGATTCTGTTTTTCCTAGAGGAGAAATAGCTAAAGGTTCTGTTTGTTGATAGCTGTGATGAAGAAAATGAAGGCCAACAGGTAGCACTGGAGTCTGGTGTTATTTATTTGTTTTGTTTTGTTTTGTTTTGTTTTTTTGAGACGGAGTTTCGCTCTTGTTACCCAGGCTGGAGTGCAATGGCGCGATCTCGGCTCACCGCAACCTCCGCCTCCTGGGTTCAGGCAATTCTCCTGCCTCAGCCTCCTGAGTAGCTGGGATTACAGGCACGCGCCACCATGCCCAGCTAATTTTTTGTATTTTTAGTAGAGACGGGGTTTCACAATGTTGACCGGGATGGTCTCGATCTCTTGACCTCGTGATCCGCCCACCCCGGCCTCCCAAAGTGCTGGGATTACAGGCGTGAGCCACCGCGCCCGGCCCCAAGTCTGGTGTTATTTATACACATTAGGGAGGTTTCATCAAGTCCTTATACCACCTATTACAAGGAAAACTTTAGGATCTGCCTTTTAGGGTTTCCAGATCTTAGAGCTCCTGTGAAGGGGAGGTGTCTTCACAGAATGGGTGGGAGAAACCAGGACGTTTTTGTAATACACTCACCTGGAGTGTGACTATGGGAACAACAGACTCGCTCTTGGGAAGGGGACCCAAGTGGTGGTCATACCAAGTAAGTGAGCTGGGATCCTCCTGCACAAATGGCCACACCCACCCCCAACCCCTCCCTACCCTGTGCTGGACAGCCTCTTACCATATTTCCTTGGGAGTTGGGGAAGGACAGGCCATTCATCAACGCCATATAGAAGAATCTAGGTGGCCACTGTCCCAAATCTTTGCCTGTCCCTGGTTTCTTTCACTCTCCCCTTCTCTCTACATCCCCTGACCACACTCCAATTCTCATTAAAGCTGCCCGTGCTCTTCCCTGAGGCTGAATTTCAGATTGAACAAAAAAAACACAGAAGTGAGAGCTAGAGGGGACCATGGGGAAATCTTGCGCATGTTGCAGAGAGGCCTGACACCAGGATGTCGCATCTGTCCCAGACCGTGCTGACGGTCAGTACAGAGCAGTGGAGAGGCCCCAGCCCCTTTCCCCCACACTGAATTTGGTGGAGCCACACAGCTCTTTGCTACGTGACCCTCAAACCCAGTGTGAGATAAGCGGAGTGTTGGCAGTGCCCACCTGCTAGGGAACCAAGGACTGAGTTCCTGCCCAGCTCAGGACGGTGGCCCAGGCCATGACATCCCTAAGCCTCAGTTTTCATGACTCTAAAGTAGACAGCACGGTATCTGTTTCCTCCCATCTTTCAAAAATTCTATGGCAATTATTGTGACTTTTTTCTCTGTAATCCTAGGGTTTCACAGAGGCAGACCCTGTCTGAGTCAAGGTCATTAGCAATAAAGGAATCCAAGAGCTTTGGATGCCTTGGCCTAATTCTAGACGGTAAAGAGGGAAGGATGAAAGCACAAATCACAGGAAGGGCCTAAATCCTGCATGGAGTGTTGCCTCAGACAGGGATATAAAGGAAGAAGACTAGGAGTGGGAACCGTCAGAGAGCTCTGGAAAGGAAAAGAGAACAAGGAGCACTTCAAGAAAAGGAGGTCAGAACAGCTTCAGCAAAATGTCTCATAAAATTTCCTTTGCTCTCTGTCCTCGGAGCACTTTCAGAAGCTCCTTGCATCTGACTAAAGTGTAACAGAGCCAGACCCTCAGAATGTCTGCCCCAAGCAAGCAGAGTGTGGTGTTTGTATTGGGGTGCTGGGAGCAGTCATGAGGAGTTGCTGCCCTGCTTCTCTGCTGATGGGAAGGTAGAATTTACCCCTGGGTACAGGGGGCCAAAGAGCTCTCCAGTCCCCAGCCCATGGTTCCTGCCCCAAGGCACCAGCACTCAGGGGCCCTGAGGACAGCGGTGAAGACTCTCTATAACTCGGAGAGTATTCAGCAGGGTTTCCCAGGATGTTGTCCAGTACCACTGGGACATTGGTAGAGGGAGGTCATATGAGGCAGTTTTTATCAAAGGCTCTCCTCACTGTGTGCATCAGGAGGAAGTTACCTACCTACATTTGGAAGAGGAACCAGCCTCATTGTTCATCCATGTGAGTGTTACAGAAAAGATCAAGGGAAATTTTGCAGACAGATTATATTATGAAAGGATACTGTAGTAGTGGGAGTCTGTGCTATGAACTGTTCCATCACTAAAGGAGTGTTTCATTGCTGGGCATAACTATCAGTGTCAGTTCTGATGAGACGATTGAGGCTGTGCTGGACAAGGGTTTTGCACAATGATTTCAGAGGACAAATCCCCAAGTTTTGAAAAAAGACTTCACTCTTGGTTAGGTTTCTAAAACAGAACTTCCTTCTTGGCAACCAAAGGGTCTACTCTGGCCCCTCACTCCTATGTCTCTTATGGCTGCAACGCTGTTGCTACCTCCCCTAGAATCCATGAGATATCGTCCCCTAAATTAGAGCATACCAGCCAGACTGCTGAGGCACTGTGTGGTACTGGAATGGGTGGCACAGGGATGGGTTTCTGGGCTTCTGGCTGCAGGAAGCCTCATCCTTCCCCCCAGTGTAAAGGACTGCTGGGAATCATCCCATTATGAGCTACTATTTACTGAATGCCTGACATGTGCCAGTGGCCATTCTCTGTCTTTCATGTAATTCTTATTCAATGATCACATGCAGCCTAATGATAGGCAGCTGGTATTATGCCTGTTCTCTAGGTAAGGTAGCTGGTATTATGCCCATTTTGTAGGTGAGGAAACAGAGACTTGGGAAAAGTAATTTATCCAAGATTATATAGCCAGGTGTGACAGACCTAGAGTTTAACTCATATCTATTTGACTCTAGGGCTTTGAAATTAATTATGCCACCATCATGCCTCCTGCATTCTGTGAAGGAAGACCTCACACCTCAAAGGCCATCTGTTTGGTCTTTGGTTTGCCCATCCTGAGCCTTCTTACAGTGACCATGGCATGTTGACTCAGCACGTCTGAGGAGATTAGTAGAGTCATTGGGTTGGGTAGCACGATACCGGTATGGCAGGGAGGGAAGGAGAAACTTAGGGGGACTATTTATTGGGCATAAAGTTACAGAGAAAGAGAAATTTATCATCAAAGCCAAGGAATAGGCTGCTTAAAAGCTTTGCTCCCAAGAGAGAAGCTGTGAATGTGTGAGGGTCATAGGCGGCTGGCAGAGGGTAGGATTTTGTACTGTGTTATACCAGGGTGTGGACTCGGGCAGGAGAGCACTTACTTTTGGGAGTGGAACAAGACTCCAAGTGCAGCTGAGTAAGTACCCGAACTTAGGCTCCGGCCAAAGACACAGAGAGCCCCTACTCTGCCTTCTCAGATGATGGATCTGTGCCTTCTCAGCTAATTTTTCACGTTTCTTTATGAAGCTTGAATATTTTGAATTTTTAATTCCTAGCCGCTAGCTTAACGGTAGTTTGTTTTCTAACAGTAGCATTTGCCAACGGGAATTGGCCATTTCATCATCGCAGAGACAGATTCCTTTAAGACAAAAGATCTTTGTCAGAAGAAACTGATTATGCCAAAAGATTTATTTTTGTTACCATTTAGTTTTCATGAAAGGTGATGAATTATACTTCCCAGAGAAGACTCTGGGCATTGGACATACTTTCTCAAAACTGCACATCCATTTGAGAGATACAGGAAGAACTTAAAGCCTAAATAATGCCATAAAAATAATAAAAAGTTTATTAAAATGAACCATATAGAAGTTAAAGAAGAAATGAAATAGTCCTAATAAAAGAAGATAGAAGAACTGCATTAGAAATGAATGGAAATGTTTAGAGGGTTTATGCATTCAAAAAATATTGATTGGACAATTATTTTATTCCAAGCACTATGCTAAGTGGGAGGAAGGGAATGGGAGGGAGGGAAGGGAAGGAAAGCAAGGAAGAGAGGAAGGACAGGGAGGGAAGGAAGGAGGAAAAAGGGAAGGAAGGAGGGAGGGAGGATCTCTGCCATCCAGGGAAGGAGGGAGAGTCTCTGCCATCCAGGAGCTCAGAGTGCAAACAGACAACTGCAGCCCATCGTCATCATGTCATAGTGAAGGTACCTGCAAGTTGCAGTGGCAGCACAACAGAAGCCATGACTAGCCACCTATTCTCATTGCCTGGTACATACACACATCCTCCACTATACCTTAAGCTTCAGGAGAGCAGGACCCTTTTTCATCCTCACATCTCTACAGCTCAGCACAGTGCCTGGCATATAGGTGCCACCGAACAAATGATTGTGGCAAAATAATGCCTTCTGGCTAGAAGAGGCATGGTTTAGACATTAACAAGTATTCTCTAACAGAGTTTTTCGACCTCAAAACCAGGAGACTGCAGAATCCATCTAGATGTACGTGGTGGGAGGAGGCCCGTCTCTCAGGGAAAAGGACCTCTGTGTTTTTCTGTTCACGTGTGTGCTTCATCAAAGCCTCTTCTCAGCCATGGGTTCGGCTGAATTTAGAAAGCTTGAAACCTACCATTATTTCCCAAGCAGAGATCAGAGGCGAAAAGTTTACAATATCTTGATAAGGAAGTAGCACAAATGGGTTCTAGCAGCAAAAAGGAAAGAGGTCTAATGATAAATATATGAAGTCTGTCTCCACTTGAGAGACTACCCAGAAATTTCTTCATTAGGAGCAGAATCATCTTGGAAACAGATGCTCTAAAGTGTATTAGAAAGGTGTGTAGGAAGAAGACCAAAAGTTCACATTTGGAAAAAGGCGTTAAAGCTGCCATTGTTTCTAGTAGGCAAATCCTGAAAAGTGTTGGGGCAGCATAGATCCTGCATGCTGACGACCGCATATAATCTGTTCTGGAGCTGTTCTGACAGTGGTGGGAGCATTTGCTGCACAGCTGCCTTGGTATTCAGAAATTGCCAAAATAAAATGAAGCTATTTAGTGATGAGTAGAAATAAATAACCAGCACCAGTGAGGCCTCTAATGCATCTGCAGGAGTGAGTAGGAGGAATTAACACCTGCTAGGTGAGACTTTTCTCTCTTGTCAGAGAAAGTTTGACTTGGGGGATCCTGGAAAGCAGGGACAGGAGATGGAGTGCCCCAGCCAGGCTGGCCCTGCCCAGGTTTAGAGTTCTTGTAAAGCACCATCTGATTGTGTATCATCTGGTAGCTACGGTAAGCTGAATTTTGGAGCAGGAACCAGGCTGGCTGTCCACCCATGTGAGTATGACCCTGCAAGTGATCAGCACAAAAAGAACTGACCATGAATCTATGAGAAAACAGGCCACGATTTATAGCAAACTTGGGGATATATTAAGAAGCACTCATTTTCCATTTCTACAAGCTCTCTTGGTGACTTAAAATGTTCCCATTTCTCATATTAAACACAGAAGTGCCAAGAGCCAATTGAGTAAATGAAAATCTGAGCAGAATAATTTATAGAAACATACAAAGAGTTCCAGATACTCAGTGCTTTCAAGCAAAGCCAATAATATCGGCACCAGATAATCCGAACATTCAGGAAATTTGCTAAATGCCCTTGGGGGAAAGAGATGAATTAATGGCAAACACAAATTCTCTTTTATTGCAGCAGGTAGCTAAATTCCCCAGATTGGCTAATAAGCATGGTATGGGGATACCTACTCATAGAATCTTCCTCTGTGGAGTTAGAAGCGTTTTCAACTTCCTCCTAAGGGTGAAAGCGGCCCATAGGGAGGCCCACAGACCTAGGGAAAATTTGGGCTCTACTATTACTAGCTGTTTTCTATAAAACTTCCACTTTCTCAACAGAAAAATGGCTGTAACTACATCATCATAATATGAGATAAAGGCCAAAATGTAAAAAGTAATCAATAAGTAGTAGCTTTTCTAAAATAATTATTACCGAGGTTTTGCTAATACTAAGATTTACATTATCATAAAGGGAAAGGGGAATCGCTTCTTTGGGAAATAAAAGATGTAAGCAACAAAGACCCAGGGAGCTGTTTAGAATGTTGCTCTGAGACCCCAGTGGGTTCCAGCAGATTAGCATCAAGAAGGTTATCTCAAAGACCTTACCCACAGTGCGGTACAGCAGTGCTTCCAACATAATCTTTGGATCAGGGACCAGACTGAGCATCCGGCCAAGTAAGTGTAGAATGAAGGAGGAGAGCAAGGGAGGGTGCGCAACTATTTCTTATTTGTCCAAAATGCCGAGTTTAAGCCCAGGTATTTTTCTCTGTAGGCTCCCAAAAGGTTTCTTCCACCCATCCCCAGAAAATCCTCCCATCCTTAGGCTGGGACCTTAGGAACCATGAGGCAGGCCATGAGAAAGTACTCCTGAACCTTCCACAAACATATCCAAGACACTGCTACTTGGAATTGGGGTTTTTGTTCTACTGAACTCTTGGTTTATTTGAAATCATAACTTCAGCCCAGGGCATCACAGCAGAATGGAGCAGGAGGAGAAGTGTACATATCAGAAGTGAAATTTCAATGCAAAAGAGCAGAAGGTCTAACTCTTAGGAGTGTGATTCTCCTGTCTTGTCAGGGAGATCAGTGCTTCTCTTATTTAAGTAATAGGTAGGTCCCGTGAGTTTCTGCAATGGTGTCACCTGTGGTGTGAATACTGGAGGAGCAATTGGTAAACTCACATTTGGGAAAGGGACCCATGTGTTCATTATATCTGGTGAGTCATCCCACGTGGCACCATTTGCAACCCCATGGGCCAGTGTCACTAATCCTTTCTTTGGGGATATCACTTATTAGTATGGTGAAGTTTGCTGAAGATGTTGTAACTAATTGTCTTAACAGAGGTCTGGGAAGGGAAAAGCATCATTATCTATATTGAATATTCATGTTTCTCTAGGTCAAACATGTTAAAATTTGACTTTAATCATTCAATGGATATTGTTAAATGCCTTCTATGTGACCATCACTCTATAAAATGTTAGACTGAGCATGAAGTCTAGGATGGATTCCTGTCCTGTCCCCAAGTTGTATAAAAACTAGATAAAGGCACAGAACTATTGTGAATTAAGCAGCCTGAAAACTATTTTAGTATTGACCAGTTAATGATGTCAACAGACACAGTAGAGACTGAGAGGGGATAGGGTGCTGGCTGAAAAGGTGGTCTAGGTTGAGAGAGTTTCATACAGTACAAAGGATTCATTGAGCCCTAAAAGATGGATAAGATCTGTATGGGCAGAGAAAGGAGACAAGGGGAGTTCCAGGCATAGAGAACAACAAGAATAAGGCATGAACTTGGGAATAAACAAGGCACATGCATTGTAGCCTAAGTAAACATCTGATAATAAAATTGGTTGAAAAAGCAGTCAGAGAAGATGTCTTTTTAGGCATGGAAAAAGAAAATATTAGAGCATTCAAGAGAATACAGAAATTAGGGCGGGGCCAGCAACTAGGAAACAATCTGATTTAGAGATGCAGACTAGAAGTAAAGGTGAGAGGAGCCAGCTGTGGCGTAGAGACCTCCCCTCTCCTTCCTCAGTGGGCTCTGAGAGGGGTCATCCCACACCTCAGAGGAGGAGAAACCTGAGGGATTCTGTAATAGAAACACTGGGAGTGGTATGAAGGTGTTACCTCCCAGATGCAAGTTAGCAAAGGAACCAGCGTTTCCATTTCTCCCGGTACATCTGCCCGTGCTCAGTTTCCTGAGGCTCACTTAGAGCCTCAGTGGGAACCAGAGTCAGTGTCACTAATTCTGATTTCTGGGTCCCTCGTGCCTAACTACAGGGAATAGATTTAATGGTAAGGGAGCTTTCAATCACTGCTGTGCCCGTAGGGACCTAAAGCACTAGAGCAGATGTGCTTCTGCAGTTCATTTTGAATTTAAAGGACAGTTTAGGATCTAGAATAGCTGAACTTCCACATTGAAAAATTGGTTCAGTCTTGCTAAGCCTACCTTCTGATACCATCAGTGATGGGATGTGTTTTTCTTACTAGGGTAAAATAGGATGTCGCTCCCCAAAGGGCTCTGGCAGACAGACCTCTAAAGACCTCTAAATTAAAAGTGACAAAGAGATAAAGTTGCACTAGAGGTACATGCGGATGAAAGTATAAAAAAGCTAAAAAAAATCAAGTACATCTAAACTCAGCCCCTGCTGCCATTTCTCCGTCTTGTGTTCTGCAGCATTGTGCTTTCTAGACCAACACTGTGCAATAGCACTTTGTGTGACAATGGAAATGTTCTGCCCATCTGCACTGTCCAATACAGTAGCCACCAGCTGCATGTAGCTATTGAGCTCTTGATATGAAGTTTTCATTTTTAATTGAAAAAAAATTTATTTCACATTAATTTTCATTTCAGTAGCCACATGTAGCTAGAGACTATTGTACTAGACAGAGCAGTCTAGACTGTCTCCAGTCTGACACCCACTGGCCCCAGGACTTGAGTGAGTGTTTAACCAGGACTCAAAGTTGGGCTTCTGCCCTTCCAAAGCAACCCCCTTTCCTCTTTAAAGCCAACCTGCATCTGGTGGCCCCTGATCCTCTGCCTTGTGGATCAGCACTTGTAGACTCTTCTGTCCCCCTCTGCAGTGCTGCCCAAGACCCCCACTGAGGTCTAACAATTAGGGGGATGTGTTGGTGGAGCCAATGGCTTTCCGTCTATCCCTTCCCAGCTAAGGAACTATATGGTAAGGCCTTCATCCACAGTGATGTCAGGCTGCCCAGGTATGGGGAGGTTGGAGGAAAGTAGGCAGAATCCTCTGGGGCCAGAGCTCTAGATGTCTCTCCCCACTGACAGTGGAGCCCACCCCTGCTCCACTGCGCTAGGGGCAGCCCCACACTGCAGGCAGCTCTGCCTCCACTCAGCATCCCAGGGGCTGATTTCTTTGGTTTTGGATTCAGCAGGATGTCTGCACTGCCGAGGCCACCATGGCTGGCTCAGCAAGTGGGGACGAATCACCAAGGTCTGAGAAATCTTGTGTGCATGTGAGAGGCTGTGGGAACAGAGAACCACTGGATGGGAAATTCTAATCCCCACCCTGCTGGAAACTCTCTGGGTGGCCCCAACATGCTAATCCTCCAGCAAAACTCTACTTCCTCCTCAAAAGGCAGGAGGTCGGAAAGAATAAACAATGAGAGTAAATTAAAAACACAAAATCCTACGGAAATACTAAAGAATGAGTCTCAGCCTCTAGCAGCTCCTGCTTTTTGAGGGCGAAGGATAGATACCGTGGCTCTGCGTGGCTCACTAGCACTTTATCATGTGACCCTATATTCTGGCAGGGTCAGTGGCTCCAACTAACATTTGTTTGGTACTTTAGTTTATTAAATAGATTTTTATATGGAGAAGCTCTCATTTCTTTCTCAGAAGAGCCTGGCTAGGAAGGTGGATAAGGCAAGGTATTCATTTTGCAGATGAAATTCCTGAGACGTAAGGAGCTGCTGTGACTTGCTCAAGGCCTTATATCAAGTAAACGGTAGCGTTAGGGCTTAGACACAGATATTCTGATTTATAGTTCAAAACTAGGAGAGAGAAATCTCCTGGTGGTATGATAGATTTCCCAGCTTCATGCCAATATGCCATAAACCTCCCATTCTTCTAATGCCCAGTCTAAGTCGGGAAGACCCCTCCAGATTCCAAGATGTACAGTTTGCTTTGCTGGGCTTTTTTGCATGCCTGCCAGAATTCGTACAGATGATGACTGCAAAATGAAGACCTACTTTCAACTCCTTTTTCCCCCCTCTAGAAGAATCAAATTGAATCTTTTACTTACCTCTTGCAAAAAAAAGAAAAAAGAAAAAAGTTCATTTATTCATTCTGTTTCTATATAGCAAAACCGAATGGCAAAAGTACCTTCTGTCCACACACACAAAATCTGCATGTATTGGTTGGTGGTCCTGTCCCCTAACGATCAAGCTACACGTCAGTTTTACAAGATAAATACTTGTACTACCTTAATGATAAGGAGTATAAGCAGTACTATTAAGTGGCCTTGCATTTCAGGTTTCCTTGAGTGACAGGCCGGGCCTGGCAGAGAATGTTCACTGAAATCATGGCCTCTTGGCCAAGATCGATAGCTTGTGCCTGTCCCTGAGTCCCAGTCCATCACGAGCAGCTGGTTTCTAACATGCTATTTCCCATATAAAGCCGAGACCGTGACTTGCCAGCCCCACAGAGCCCCGTCTTGTCCATCACGGGCATCTGGACTCCAGCGGGGGTTGGGACAAAGAGGGAAACAAGGTCATCTCCTAACCCTGACCCTCTTGTCCCACAGATATCCAGAACCCTGACCCTGCCGTGTACCAGCTGAGAGACTCTAAATCCAGCAACTCCTCTGTCTGCCTGTTCACTGATTTTGATTCTAAAATGAATGTGTCAGAAAGTAAGGAGTCTAAAGTGTACATCACAGATAAAACTGTGCTAGACATGAGGTCTATGGACTCCAAGAGCAATGGTGCCGTGGCCTGGAGCAGCAATTCCAATTTTAAATGCACAGACGCCTTCAGCGGCAGCTCTCTTCCAGAAAACACCTTCTTCTCCGGCTCAGGTAAGGGCAGCTTCGGTGCCTTTGCAGACTGTTTCCTTGCTTCAGGAGTGGCCTGGTTCTGCCCAGAGCTCTGGTCAATGGTGTCTGAAACTCCTCTGATTGGTGGTCTTAGCCTCATCAGTTGCCACCAAAGCTCTTATTTTACTAAGAAACAGTGAGCCCTGTGCTGGCAGTCCAGAGAATGACACGGGGAAAAAAGCAGATGAAGAGAAGTTGGCAGAAGAGGGCACTTGTCCAGCCTCAGTCTCCCACTGAGTCCCCACTGCCTGCCTTTGCTTGGACTGTTTGCCACTTAGTGCTCTTCTAGGCCCCATTCTAAAGCCCTTCTCTGAGCTGCCTCTCCTTATTTCTCCATCTGCCAAAAGATCTTTCCCAGCTCACTCAGCCAGTCTCACTCAGTCACTCATTAACTCACCAACCACTGATTGTGCCGGTACATGAATGTACCAGGTGTGGAAGTGGAGGAATAAAAAGTCAGATGACGGGTCTGCCCGGAGGAAGCTCCATTCTAGTTGAGGGAGCCCATCTGTCAGCTGGGGAATATCCATATAACTTCAGACTGGAATGTATTTTAACTCGGGGTTGAGAAAACAGCCACCTTCAGGACAAAAGTCAGAGAAGGGCTCTCTGAAGAAATGCTACTTGAAGGTACTAGCCATACCAAAGGCAGGGAGGGGACCCTACACAGGCCTGGGACAGGAGTTCAATGAGAAAAGAGTTTAACGAAGGAGACAGGGCTGGATCACAGGGCCTCCTAGGTCATGAGAGGCCAGACAGTATTCTAAGTATACCAGGAAGCTGTTGGGACACATAATTCGCTTTTTTTGTTTGTTTTTTGTTTTTTGGTTTTTTGTTTTTTTTTTTTTTGAGACAGTTTCACTCTTGTTGCCCAGGCCAGAGGGCAGTGGTGCAACCTCAGCATCCCAGGGTCAAGCAATTCTTCTGCCTCAGCCTCCCAAGTAGCTGGGATTGCAGGCGCCTCCCACCACACCCAGCTAATTTTTTTTTATATTTGCAGTAGAGATGGGGTTTCACTATATTGGCCAGGCTGGTCTGGTACTCCTGACCTCAGGTGATCATCTGCCCAACTCAGCCTCCCAAAGTGCTGGGATTACAGGCATGAGCCACCGCGCCCCGCCTGCTTTTCTTAAAGATCAAGCTGATTGCTGTGTGGAGAGTGGGTTGTAAGCCAAGAGTAGAAGCAGAAAGGGAAAAACTGAAGCAGAGAGATGACAGAGGCCTGGGCAGGGTGGTGGCAGGGATGAGAAGACAAAGAGGGGATCAAGGGAGGCAGCTGGATTTTAGCCTGAGCAGCTGAGTCCGATAGTGCTGTTTACTAAGATGAAACCAAGGAACAAATTCGGGGTACAGGGATTATACTTTTTGGAACACACAAAAGTACTTGTTTATACTCTTAATGGACCTTGTGACTATGCATGCCTCACTGCCTCCATTGGACCTCAGAATGAAGCCACACAAGGGCAGCATCCATGTGTGATGGCACCCTGTGGCCTGTGTCATGTAGCATGTACTTTGTACAATCAGTGTACATTGAGTAAGTAGAAACGGTGTCCAGAAGTCAAGGCATTGGTCCTGCCAGGGCCAGGGGCTCTCCCTAGCAGCTGCCATAGGCTGTAAGTTCCCTCCAGATCTCTCCACGAGGAAGTATGGAAAGGCTGCCAATCACCTGCCCAAGAACTAGGAGGTCTGGGGTGGGAGAGTCAGCCTGCTCTGGATGCTGAGAAAATGTCTGTGTGTTTCCTTTTTAGAAAGTCTCTGCGATGCCAGCCTGGTCGAGAAAAGCTTTGAAACAGGTAAGACAGGGGGTCTAGCCTGGGTTTTTGCACAGGGTTGAGGAAGTGATGAACCCACAATAACCCTGACTGGATGAGGGAATGGGAAGGAATGAGTAGACATGGGAATGAATGACAAACGCAAACAGCAGTTCAAGACCTGCTCAGAGCTGGGTGGGGTCTCTCCTGAATCCCTCTCACCATCTCTGACTTTCCATTCTAAGTACTTTGAGGATGAGTTTCTAGCTTCCATAGAACAAGGACTCTCTCCTAGCCCTCTGTATTTCTTTCAATAGCTCCACTGTCAAGAGAGCCAGGGAGAGCTTCTGGGTGACCCAGCTGAGAAATTTCCAACTCCTTTAGGGATAGCCCTCAACTAACCAGGTCATCCTGAGGACAGTTTCACTCCACAGCCAACAGGCTTTGCCTTCTTTCAAGAAAAGCAACAGTACTCGCGTAGGCTCTAGGCAAGGGTCCTGTCTCTCAAGAATCCCCTACCACTCCACACCCACCCTGGGCCCATATTCCTTTCCATTTGAGTTGTTATTGAGTCATCCCTCCCATGGGGGCTGAACTCACTAAGGGGCCCATCTAGACCCAAGGGATGGTGATGATAAATTCTGAGCACCAACCCCATACTCAGAAGGGCTCAGAAATAAAAAAAGGACCAAGTCTAGTCAGTGTTTTTGTCTCAAAACACAACACTGTTGACCCTGGAAGAATGCACAAAATATGTTTGCAAGGGGATATGCACCAAAGCTGCAAGGGAACAGCGATGCAGGAGCTGCAGGCCTCCCCTGCCCAGCCTGCTCTGCCTTGGGGGAAACCGTCGGTGCATCCTGCAGCCGTGCAGGCCTGGGACAGGCAAGCCCATAACCTCAGTGGCCTCTTGGTTTTACAGATATGAACCTAAACTTTCAAAACCTGTCAGTGATTGGGTTCCGAATCCTCCTCCTGAAAGTGGCCGGCTTTAATCTGCTCATGACTCTGCGGCTGTGGTCCAGCTGAGGTGAGAGGTGTTGAAGCTGGAGCGGGGATTAGGGGTGCGGGTCTCTGGGTGCATCCTAAGCTCTGAGAGCAAACCTCCCTGCAGGATCTTGCTTTTAGAAAGTCCAAAGCCTGAGCCCACCAAACTCTTCTAATTCTTCCTGTTACCAGCTCCTCTTGTTCAGTAACAATGGCCTGAAACGCTATAAAATACACTCATTTCCGCCGCCTCTGTTGAACCTCTCCCCTGTGAGGTAGGAAATGAGGAAACTGAGGCCACACAGCTCATGAGTGGAAGCAGAGAGACATCATTTACACCGCAGGTCTTATGTTGTACTTTCTCACCCTGTGACTGAAAGGAGTCCAAGGCCTCTCCTCATGTCCTCTCTCCCCACTATGGCTCTCTTAGCTCACTAGTAAGACGACCTTTACACTCATTATACCCTAATCCTGGCTACAGTCTCCACGCCCTCCTCCCCCAGGGCCCCCAGTCATCTTGCTGACAACTGCATCCTTTTCTGTCACCATCAAAAATGTTGGGTGCGGGGGCTCAAGCCTGTAATCCCAGCACTTTGGGAGGCAGAGGCGGGAGGAGGCCAGGAGTTGGAGACCAGCCTGGGCAGCAGAGGGAGACCCCTCCTCTACAAAAAGTAAAAAAATTAGCTGGGTGGGGTGGTGTACGCCTGTAGTCCCAGCTACTTAAGAGGCTAAGGTGGGAGGATCGCTTGAGCCCGGCAAGGCTGAAGCTGCAATGAGCTGTGATTGCACCACTGTACTCCAGCCTGGAAGACAAAGCAAGATCCTGTCTCAAAAAAATAGAAAATTTTTTTTTTTTTTTTTTTGAGACGGAGTTTCGCTCTTGTTACCCAGGCTGGAGTGCAATGGCGTGATCTCGGCTCAGCGCAACCTCCGCCTCCTGGGTTCAGGCAATTCTTCTGCCTCAGCCTCCTGAGTAGCTGGGATTACAGGCACACGCCACCACGCCCAGCTAATTTTTTGTATTTTTAGTAGAGACGGGGTTTCACCATGTTGACCAGGATGGTCTCGAGCTCTTGACCTCGTGATCCACCCGCCTCAGCCTCCCAAAGTGCTGGGATTACAGGCTTGAGCCACTGCGCCCAGCAAAAAAAGAAAATTTTTTTTAAAACTCCGGGGTTCATTTGCTCCTAGAACTCTACCACACAGCCCCAAACAGAACCATCTCTGTCACACCCCTGACAGTCCTGGGTCCTCCTCAGCGTCCAGCCTGACTTCTGTTCTTCCTCATTCCAGGTCCGGAAGATTATAAGAGAGCCTGTGCTCCCTGGTGCCTTCATCTGCACCACCCCTCCTCTCCCTCTCCAAGCAGAGGGAACACTCCCACCCCCATGGAGGAGAAAGCTGCTATCACCTCTGTGCACTCCCCTTCCCGCCCCCCGCGATGCCACCAACTGGATCCTACCCGAATTTGTGATGAAGATTGCTGAAGAGCTGCCAGACGCTGCTGCCGCCCCGCTCCCTTATTGCTGCTTGTCACTGCCTGACACGCACGGCAGAGGCGAGGCTGCGGCAGCCTCCCGCTCCCCAGAGCCTGCCTCCGCCACCCCACAGATGATGGGTCCTCAGTGGGTTCTCCTGGGCTCTAGGTCCTAGAGAATGTTGTGAGGGGGTTATAGTTTTTTAAATAGTGTTCATAAAGAAATACATATTCTTCTTCTCAAGATGTGGGGGAAATTAATCTCATTATCGAGGCCCTGCTATGCTGTGTATCTGGGCGTGTTGTATATCTTGCTGCCCATGGCTTCATTAAAAATGACCTGGAAGAGCAGAGACTGTGCCTCTGTTTGATTGGGTTCGGTTGGGTTTTCTGCTTGCTGGTGATCACTAGCTGGGCATAGAAAAACCACGGCATTTGTCCATGACGCTGTCCAGGAAGCCTCCTTCAACAGGCTGCCTCAGTCAACCTCTTGGAATAACCTCTAAAAGCTTCCGCTTAGCAGGCTATGCTGAGGGCCAGGAAAACCCACCTACCAGCTTGGGCCCCTCCTCTTCCATTCTCATGCAACACCACGGGACCACCCAAAGCAGGAGCCGAGATACATGGGTGTCAGTGACCTGAAGCAGACAGGGACCACACAGCAAGTGTCCCCAAAATGCCACCCACTGTCTCCTGTCCTACAGCAGCATTTCCTTTGCCTCTCCTCAGACTGGATTTCCACTGAAACTGCATTTCATGGCTGGGGACCACCCCCCGCTCTGCTGCCCAGTCCAGCCCCATGCCTGCCCCTGAGGTGTCCAACCCCAGGAGCAGGGTTAAGAGGAGGCTGTGACCCCAGCAGGACTTTATGCTCCCACCATCCCAGCTGTGAGAGTGAGGAAAAAGGAGATGAGCTGTCTCCCCACAAGCCCAGAGATTTGACCGAGGAGAGTAGGTGCCTTAAGCTGACACCTAGGAGAAAAGACATGGGCTCCCTGGGGTCTGCAAAATGCTGCGCTCTCCCTCCCGAGACTCCTGCTGCCAGAGCGTCTTTCCCTAGGGTCATGGATGCTGAGAGGAACACAAGTCAGACCGCGCCACCATCCACCCAGCAACTACAGCTACCAAGACCCAAAGCTGAGGCTTACCAATACCTGGGGGTGGGAGGGGGGTTCCATCCCAGAATACCTCCACGATTCCCCTGTGTGTCTGACCACCCCAGCCAGAAATAGGCAAATCCACTCAGCTACAATTCAGGCCTGCTTCTTTTCATAGGGATAGAGCTACGGGTTGAGTCTCCCTTATCTGAAATGCTTGGTACCAGAAGTGTATCTGGTTTTGGATTTTTGGGGGGAGGTAGGGGTGGAATATTAGCTCTCTGCTTACCAATTCAGCATCCCTAATCCAAAAATCTGAAATCCAAAATGCCCCAGTGAGCATTTCCTTTGAGCATCAGGTTGGCATTTTAAAAGATTCACATTTTGGAGCATTTCAAATTTCAGACTTTTGAGTCAGGGTCACTCAACCTGTACCAGCTTTAACGGTGACCTGGAGCATGTCCCTCCCTCTACAGGCTTATGTCACCACTTACGAAATGTTGGCTAGGACTGGAGGCTACCTCCCACGCCCTGAACCTCTGATTCTGTGACCCCTGTAGAATTAAGAACCAGTGTCCCCTCTTCTGGTCAGCCCTACTGAGGGGGGTCACAGAATCCCCAGTTCTTTCTAAGCTGCCCCATCTCTCGCCTAAATATAATCCCCTTAAAGATCACCAGAGGGAAAGGTCTCAGCATTCCATCACAGCTGGGTAACTCTCACACGTGGTAGGGTGGTACCACCTTCCCAAAAGTGGGGTTTGCCACCTTCGGGGAGCTCTGGGGGGCCTCTACCTCCTCACCCGTCTGACACAATGCTAGAGATTCCACCATTGGGAATTTCTTTTAAAGCATTCTCTTCCCTGCATTAGATGGAAATGCCCCCAGGAGGGTTAATAGAGCAAGCCTTTACAGCCATTAAAAACTGAGGGCCAATTAGTTTCTCTTTCTTTTCCCCCTGAAGTGGTAATTCATTTTGCTCTATAGAAAAAAGACCTGGGTGAGGGAAGTGTGGGTGGCTGGGGAGGCAGGTCTGCTCCTGGGAGTTGGCTGCAGTGACACAGGTCATAGGGCGGAGGGAAGGAGACAGCAGCCTGGAAGGCGTGAAGGGGTCAAAGATGATAGACCCTTCTAAGAACCTCAGAGGAGATCCGGACTGCAGGAGGCCTGCCAGCCCAGTGCCCTCAGACAGCAAGGCCCTGCCGTCACTGATCCCCCAAGACCACCCGCAGATCTATGCAAGGTGATGCAGCAGGGGCTATGGACCCACCCACACGCAAGGAGGGAGGCAGGGTGGCAAGGCTGGGCATACAGGAGGCCATCCGGAGAGCAGGCTTAGCTCCGCCCCTGAGAAATTTCCATCTAAACCCAGGAGATCCTTAATTCAGCAAGAACCTTCCCTCATGTCTGAGGTTGTTAAACCTAAAGCCAGTTTGGTCAGCGGTCAGAGGTGTGGACCAGGAGCAAGCAGGTTGAGGGTGAGCAAGTGTTGGGGGTGGGGAGAGAGACTTCATCCATCTCCGACCACTCTGCTCTCATGTCTGGCTCCAGGCCCTACCTGGGATGTCAGAGGTAACGAAAGTAGCCTTGTGAGCAGCCTCAGAAAAAGGGCTCCTGTGCCCACCGGGCAGGTCAGCACTGAGCCTAGCACCACTCCAGCAAAGCCCATCCGTGCAGAGGGCTCAGCTACAAGGAACTGGGCATTGCTTAGCCTGGAGGGAATAGGCAGCTGGGGAGACCTGGAAATACAACCATGAAGACCCCAGCCATGAAGACCCCCAGACCCCTCGAGCCAGGGCTGCGGGCTGAAGCTGCAGCGCTACCAGCCTGGATCCAGCCTCACGGAGGGAAGGCGACATCCCAACAGGGAACATGTTACTAAGCCCAGCTGTAGAATGGACTTTACTGGACACATGTCCTACTATCCCAAAAGACTTAAGCACAGGCCAGTCCCAAAGGCAGAAGAATGGACGAAATGCGTTCTCGTGGCCCCAGGCCTAAGGTTCTAGAGTTCTCTCTGACACTTCACAAAGAGACCTGACCTCTGAGGGCACCTGGAGTCACAGCCACTCAGAAGAAAGAGCAGGCTACACATGCTTCAGGAGCACTCGGGTGGGGTCCTTGGCTCTGACAGAGCAACCCCTCTGCTGTTACCCTACGAGGGGGCAGCTGTCTGAGTCTTAAGGGATTGCTTATTTTTAGGTCCAAATATAACATCCAACTCCCCTGGGATCACATAAAGAGACAGGCCTAAGAGCACCTTAATCGCAGCTACCATCCTCATGAGGAAGTCCCCCGGCCGGTGTGCTCTGTGGGATAGGGATGTTCCTTGTCATCAGTGTGTCCCCAGGAACTAGAACAGTGCCTGGCACACAGCGGATGCCATTAAATGAATAAATGAGCAACGCCTGGAGTCAGGTTCTGGGTGGGGGGAGCTGAGTATGAGGAGTGGGGAGCACAGGAGGGAGGAAGTGGGGACCTACAGAGGAAGTGGCCGGGTGAGCCAGCGTCACCAGCCTGCACCCAGCCTCACGGAGGGAGGCTTTGTCAGGAACTCGAGAAACTTGTCAAGAACTTCAGAACCAGCACAGCCTGAGTGGTGGCACCTTGGTCAGAGCAGCCCCCAGCCAGGCACACATCTATCCGACAAGGCCTGGAAGACAGGGACTGTGGGAAAGCAGGCTGGGTACCTGGGAATCTGTGCTGACCGTGCGGCCACACCGAGGGCCAGGGCCAACAGTCACTTTACGTGGGTCCACCTCAGTTTCTCCATGAGTCCTACTCAAACCCATCTGCCTCCTTGAGCCATGTGTGGGAAGACACGCGGCTGGCTGGGATGAGTCTGGGGGAGCAAGCCACATGGAGACCCAGTGCTGTCATTCCGGCTGTGGGGAAGCACAGGACCACCAGTGCCCTGCGTCTCTGTCAAAGCTACCTGGGCAACGGGGGGAGGGGTGGGGCGCAGGCCTCCTTTCACATAGAGACACACATGCCTGAGGCCTCTCTGGGTAGCACACACAGAGCTATATTTTGAAATTAATAAACAGGTCAGACATTGAGTGAGTAGCCACAAGTAGAACAGGAAGTGGAAAAAGGCTCCCACTTCCCTCCAGGTGTTTGGAGGCTGGGGCGGTCCCCTACATTTCCATGATGTCATGGTTACCGAGAGGGGCAAGTAGGGCACCCTTTGAAGCTCTCCCGCAGAAGCCACATCCTCTGGAAAGAAGAGTTAAAAATACTGAGGTAGAGATAGCATCGCCCCAAGCCACGTGCCAAGGGGAGCAGGCTGGGCCGTTACACCGCCCCCCAACTGCAGGTGCAGTAGGGCCAGCACGCCAGGCTGGGAGGGGCTACCGGTTCCTCTGTGACTTGCACCCACGCCCGCAGCAGGCTGGGGAGGCGCTGCTGGCCCCACTGCTGAGCTGCCTCCCTCACCGCTCCTCTGCTGCCCTTCCAAACCAGCCAAGATCAGACCTTGAGCTCACCTGATTAGGCGCTTGCTTAGTACAGGACAGACTCTCAAGGCTTGTGGTCAGGCTAGTCTCTCCTGAGAGGGAGGGATGTGGAGAGGCCGCATCTGCCCCCACACACAGCTAGGGCTGATTCTCCCAGGGACCCCCCTCAATAGCTCCCTATTGCCCTCATTCTTGTCCTTTAGGTGATGGCCCTAATGGAAGCCCTGATGGACAGGACCTCCATCAGGGACCCAGGGTCCTGGAGACCAGGAATCTGCAGGAGGGGAGCAGCAGAACCAGAAACCCAAAAATCACCGCCAGGCTTGATGTTCTGCTCTTTGGTAGTGTCGCTGTCCACCCGCATGGGGGCAGCAGCGCTCCACCAAAAAGGCCTCTTCTTCTTAGTCTGCTAATTCTGGAGCGGGAAAGCCCCCAGTTTAGGAGAAGCTTTTTTCCTAGGAAAATAAAAGGGTAGGTGACTTTTATCCCATAAGTCCCTGTCCTGTGTCTGTCACTGCGCTGGGCGCCAGGCCTATGTGATCCTTTCACATCCTCAGAGGAGGGAAGGGGCTGGGGTCTGGGCCGGCAGCAGGGGGCACTGCCTGTCCAGGATCTACAGACCCTCTACACCCGGAGCCCTGGAGGAAGAGCAGAGGGAGGACTGGGGGCCCGAGGAAGCCTTGGATTCCGAATCAGGATGGCTGGCTTCGGGGATCCACCACCTCATAGACTCGTGCCTTTGGCAGGTCACTAACCGCCGTCAGTTTCCCAGTGGGACCAACTGCCTCTCATAGGTAGTTTAAG